TTTGAACTGCGTAATTAACCTCCTCTAAGGGCAAGCCTGGCGAAAGAGAAAAAATAAATTTAAAAAAAGAAATGCTTGAACGACATTTCCATTGCAACGTTTCTCAAACCAATCTATAGGATGACATAATCTATTAAATTTTTACTGGTTCTGCACTTATCAGTACTACAAATGCCACTTTAACTGATGGTGGCCATTTTTATGACGTCACGCTTAGAAGGCTTAGATTCCTCTATTTTATACTATTTACGCCCTCTGTGTACACCGTAGTTTGCATGACTGACGACGGGTTTTTTTTTGCAATATTCAAGATTCACTCTCGCAGCAACAACTAGAAGTACTATAAATAGTTGCTTGATTCAGTTGAAGATTATTTCTTATCCGTGTAGTGAAAACATTCATTTAACGTTTTGTCGAGGTCTACAAGTGCTGTGTATCTTATTGTGGAGAGATGTGGGCGTACAGTGAAAAATAAAGACGTGTCTTGTTAGGTTTGGTTTGTGTTTATCTGTATCGGAATTTTCGTATTTTCACTTTCTCAAGAGTAAAATGCTTTTATAATATTTTTGTGACTATCACAAAAGTGAAAAGCTAACTGTCAAAGAATATTGAATAATTACGTCAAATATTTTAAGAAAGAGTTCGAATAAATCTCTCGATAATACCAAATGAATTTTTATTGAAAATTTATTCTCAAATTAATTGCTTTGTTTGTTTTTAATATTGTGTTATTACATTGGAAGTTACCTTTATGTATTTTAAAATACATAAATCCGTTTCGTTAACAACTTTTCCTCTTAAAGTAGAAGGATAGGGAAGAGTGTGGGGTTCTTGTGAAAGTTCTCGCATAGGTACACAAAAGTAGAAGGTGGAAACTTGTGCAACACAAAGATAAAACTTTTTATATTAACTAAGTACAATAGTTCGAAATAATGAACAACAGAAATCAAAACTCGCTTGCCTACAATAATATGTGAAATAATTGAAAAAACCAACCAAATTTAAAATTATAGAAAGAATAGCCCAAGTCACTCGACCACTGCCAACGATCACAATACAGATGCACGATTTAAATGTTGGCTGTATCTGGAAGTCTGCACATCAATGCACAGCCGTAAGCTCATATTGTAAATAATACACCGTTTAATATTAAATTTAAAGTCTCGGTCGCATGGACAACTTTACTTGGCTTCCTCAAGAGTAAAAGCTATTTCTAATATTTATGTGACAAGGAAAGGGAAAAGCTAACTGCCAAGGAAGATGACTTCAAATGTTATTTTTAAGGAAATGTGAATTTTTCGAAGAAGACGATACCTTTATTGAAAAATTGTATCAACATCAATTGCATTGTTTTTATTTTTGTTTGATATTCTGTACGTAAGAACATTCATACATTTTTAAGATACATGTTTAATACATTTGTAAGTTTGTTTAAATAAAGAATTGAAATTTATTAATGAACATAAAAGTTGCCTAACATAATAATATTGAACTTTATATGTTAGGCCACTTTTATTTTCATTAATAATTAGTTATAATTAATTATTTCAAATCAAAATAGATTTTAGTTTAAAATAGCTTCAAAATAATATGATTTCTACTTGTAACAATGTATCCTCAAGAAGAGATGGAAGTCTTCTTTTGTGAAAGTTTTTATTAAAAAATACTTTGAGTTAAATCTCAGAGTTGAAATTTTCACCGAAGTTTTATAATACACCTATCAATAATGTGTGCAATTTTCAGCTTTTTATCTGATCCTCCACAGAGATATTACAGTTGAAAATTTGCAAAAATGCAATATTCCAATTTTTAAGAGGATGTTATTTTCAAAGGTACGTTACTTACCAATGATATTTTAGAAAAAGTTTCTATACAATTATGTGCCAAAGCACCAAAAATTAAGACTGAGATTCTATTCTTTCTTTGAGAAATTACTCTTTGAAAATCGAACTTGGTGCATTCACGTTTCAAAGGTTAGGTTGAAAATGTTTCTCAAAAAACAAGTAGAAGGTAAGAATTCTCAACTAGAAGGTATTTTGATTTGTAAGCCTGAATATTTTTGAATGCAATGCCATTTATTCTAGAATGCTAGAACAACCCAGGGCTGAATAATTTAGAAAAGAGTAAATGCCACAAATACGATAAATGGTGCTCGGCCAAAATGACCGCCATTTGTAAACCAGTAATAGTTAAAAATATTAAAAATGTTTTAGAACTGATAAGACATAAGGAAACTTATGTACAAAGTATGCATTTTTTTTCGTGGTGGTCGAGCGACCAATTCACTTAATTAATCACAATCATAAAATTAATCACAAACCATAAATTCTTGACCACTTAAAATGGATTTAGCCTTAAACGTTTGTTCAATCTTCTAGAAACAATTTCTGAACTTTCCTGTCAATTCTATAATTTTGCCAATAAAATGGCAATCCGAAAATGTTTAGTTCTTCCCTGTCACTTCTATAAATTTTCGTCATATCTTCACTTTTTACATTAGTGCATCTAGATACGTTTGCCAAGGATGTGAACGTTAGCATTAATTTCTCAATACGATCCCCTAATGCGACACTCGAATGCTATCCTCTACGTAGAAATACCGTTACGGATACAATTTATCAGTTTCCGCTACTTCCACCAGCGTGTGCAGCAGTCTTGCATCACACGCGTGACTTTTTGTTACTATGTCACAAACGCGGTATATAAACTGTTATCTCTTTTCGCTAAATGAAGATTTTGCTCAGTCATAAGAGTGTCATCTACCCGTGAATTGGAGTGCGCTTCCGTCAGAGGAAACACGGTAAAGACGATGAAACATTTTTGCCTTCCTGATGACTTTGTTATATTTATTTTCTTTCTTATTCAACAAATTCCCCCCCCCCAAGAGTTTTGCCAAACAATATACATTAAATGGTAATTGTAGAGTTACACGTTCGTTTTCTTGGAAAGTGGAAGTTGTTTACTTACAAGAGGACGAGTTCCTGATGTAAACCGTAGTGATGACTTAACTTCAGAAATAATCTGTATCGACATTATCTATTACAAATTCTCTTTCTCTAAATTCTTATCAAAGCATTACAATATAAACATACAACGTCCCTTCACTCTTTAACCTATCATTTAAAACTGACGATATAATGATTTTTTCTATGTTCGTTGTTTCTTGACTATATTGCAGGCAACAAAAATATTTCGAAAACCTGGTTTCACTCCTATTTTCACAAATAAAATACTTTCATGTACGATTGCAAAAATTCCAATATTTTAACAAAAACAATCTTCACAAATAATGCACTAACATAGTATAGTATATTCTTATATACACTGCAACAGTTATTTACGTACCAAGAATAAGAAAAAAGATGGTATTCGTTAATGAAATACATGAATAGCAAATATTTTGTGGTGTTCTCTCTTGCTTGGAGCATTGCTGTTACATGATATCAATTGTTTTTCGAACAGTATCACACTGAGTACGAGAATTCAATCTTTACGCATAGTATGGGAACACAAAGAAAAACCTGCTTAGGTGGCTATGACAACATTTGAAATCATTGCAATGCCTTTGACCAGAAGGACCTAGTGTTCGAGTCCCGTCGGAGGCAGGATTTTCGACACCAGCTACTTAGCGAGGTCGAATTCAGGCGGCGGCTGGAAGAGAACTCTGGTGGCCAGCTTCTCTGATTGGTAGTTTTCTGTGGTTTCTCCGATGAACACCAGGTGAGTCCCGGAGCAGTACCCTAACAAACGGGCCAAAGAATGCGCGCGATCTTTCCTACCTCTTCCTTGTCTTAGCCTAACCCCTTATTTACACACATTCAGATTCACTACACTCACCCATCTGTGTACATGGGTTCCTAAGGAAACTACTGACAACTTTCACATGACCGGAGGCTGCACAGATGATTTTCAATTTCTGTGCGCTTAAGACATTAATAACAAAGATTACAGTAACCAAAAGAAAATACGTGGGGTAGTGGTCAGACCGGTTATCTTCCATCACTTGGCCCCAGCGGTTGATCCCCGTAGATTATGTGAAGAACAAAGAAGGTTCTCGTATGTTTTCCTTGTTTACCCTCCTCTCAGTTCTCCTCCTATCCCCTCCTCTCAGTTTTATCATAGTCATTCAAATCACGCCAACATCATCACACAATCTTCATAATACCTCAGGTATGGCCGAAATGTGTTAGGCACTGAAGTCTTCAGCACTGGCATCATTATGGAACAACGATGTTTTAATGAAATATTAACAATAATAGTTTATGTATTTTCTTTATAATTCATCAAAGTATGATACTTTCGTACTCGTATACGAGAGAGAAGCCGACTTCATTCAAAGATACGTCTGTTATAAAATCAACATTCCATTTTTGAGAAAGATAATATATTTCGATCTAAAGATTCAGTGAATAATCAATGTGTAAACCATGTTCTGATATAGTCTCCTAGAATTGATAAGAATCAGTCTTTTGAAAATATTTCATATATGTTAGTTCACTTAGTTTTCTTAAACATTTTGAAGAAAGTCGGGGAGTTACCGTCACTTTATTCGTCGAAATCGTCTTATACATTTTCTTCTGTTTGTATAGTCCATAATCAATGTTAATTTCTCCTCGGTATATTATAATTAGCATCAAAGTATATTATAATTAGCATATGGCAGATAAAAAGGTTTTTTCAAAGAGCTCTGACGCTTCGGGGTGAGTAAGTTCAAGACCAACGAACTCAAGTGAAGGTTTCCCCTATGTTGCTGTCAGGAATACAACCGCGAAAGATTCCTTTACGAATACAAAGGATTTCTGTTCGGCAGTCCCAAACGCCTGTGCTGCTCTAATGAGTACGAATGAACCTTCACCACTGACGTTGTTGGTGATGACTGTGTGGCCTTTAATTGCGCACGGCAGATAAGCGGCGTCCTATGCCACTGCATGATTCGTTCTCTGAGAAACCAAATGACGCGTTGTCGAGAATTCTATCATAAAACCGACGGGGTGTCTCATGGGAACGCATTCTGCTACAAGGCAGCACAGGAGCACTACGGGCCGCGGGTTCCCTTTGTCTTTGTATATTCCAGACGTCACTAGAACACGATCATGGTAAGTGTACGATTATATACTAAGGCATATATGCATATGATTTTTTCAAAATTTATTCTTGCTTGGCATTTGGCTCTCAGCAGCCGTGAGTGACTGATACTGTGGTTGGTATACAGATGGAGATAATAACACAGGGAACACTAACTTTTTACTTCAATATTTGTTTTCGTAATAAAATACCAGAGATATAATAATCGTAAAAGTTATGAAGTAAGTTTTGTAATGGTTATATTTAAAACAATATGAAAGTCGTTTCATAAAACGATTTTATCTGAAAATCTAAGGATGTTTTTTCTCAAAAATTTTAAATCAATTTCATCCGTAATACTATATTTTATATGTTTAACCCGTAGATGTACGAAAGAATAACATTACACTTAAACACTTAAGGGACCTCTGAGACTCGCTTCTAAAATTACAATCCACAACGGGAAAAGTGAAAAAATTTTTTAACAGAGTTTAAAGAATATGTATTAGTTATATTATATAAATTATAAAGAATATTTTAAGAAAATAAAGAATTCCAAAGTATATTTTTATTATTTCTATTTGAAATTAATATCTCTTACAAACTAGAGCTAATAAACGGTATATGATGTTTCTTAACTCTAGTTTTTAGTTTTTCTCGGGCACAAATCACGATAGTTTTTCTATTTTGAGAATGGAATGAATTTCGAATTTGTTTTTTTTAACAGTGTAATATATATGAGCAGACACATTGGAGAAAACGTCTTGTTTGTTACTGGTTTACAATTCATTTTTGAATGTCCTTTGTGTTTTGTTGTAAACTTCTTCGCCATGTGTTTTTTGTAATAAGAACTCTGCAAGTATGGAAGTTGAAAAATTATTGACATTAATGTTGTATCCTCCATTACTCAAGGTTCGGGACAGTTCTTTCCCCATTTTTGCTGCCGAATGTTTCGCCACGGGCTCGTTCATTTGCCTACCACGGAACGTGCTGCCGCGCACCCATGTGCCGCATCGCAAATCCAGAATGTCTTGACATTCGGACACAAAGCTAATTCTTCATTCACAGGTACATATTCACTAGGGCTATATACGATTTTACAGATGTTTATAAAAAGATGCCATATGCAACTAATGTGAGGGAATTTCATTATTTGTCTTCATGTGTTTTATTGTCACCAAAGTGTATAGAGATAAGAAGTCAGAGGGCCTCCGACTGCATCGATGGGTGAAGTAAGCTTAGGGAGGTTCGAGTCTCGACGGCGGTAGGACTTCTGACACTGGCTGCTTAGCAAGGTCGCTGTTTGGCGAAGAATTCTAGCGCCCGACTTTCTTCTGATCGCTCAACTATTGTCCTGGTTTCTCTGATTAATATCAGGCAAATACCGGAGCAGTGCCCCCCTAACAAACGAGCAACGAACTGCGCACTATCTTTTTTTGCTCATCTTCATCCCCCCCTCTCCCCCTTTCCAACACACACACACGTACACAAGCGCGCGCGCGCTCTAACAGGCATTACACTACCGTTCATGCCGAGAGCATAGAGCGTGTCCGGAAAAGGCGGTGCCCCCTCTTGGCAGAGATACTTGGAAGGGGATCCGAGGGGTGTGCATTTCAGCGCCGAATCTCACTTCCGGCAAGGAGAGGAACACCGATGCTTCCACGGATGTAACAGGCACTACAACTACGAGACAAGCAACCGACGCCTGGTACCACAAATTAAACAATCATTCCATTAAATGATGTGTTAAAAACCCTCTTTCTTGCTGTTACAGAAGACAATCACTCTGATTGTTCTGGTTGCACTGGCTGTTGCGGTCGCCAAACCCGTGTCTGAAGAGGCGTCAGGGCCGATTCCCAACGACGACAGTCTGTCGTCCGAGGATTTCGAGGACAGCCCTGGCGACCTGCTCGGCCCGGACGAGATCAACGCGGTGGACGGGGAGCTCCCGGACGACGAGCTGGGAGACGGCGAGGCTATGGACGGCGAGGAGACGGTCGTCTTTCGTCCGCTCTTCGTCCACCGACAGCGCCAGGCTCGCCGCAAACAGAGACGCTTGGAGCAGCAAGGGCGGTGGAATGCCTACTATAGGACGCACTACACTCGCCACCTGCCCCGAATCCACTATTGAAGCTGCAATGCACGAAAAACGGCTATGTGATATATGACGCTTATTTCACACTTATATCCCTGGTCAGTGGGATGGCAAATAAATGTAATTATGGCACAATGAATTTCCTTTGACGTTGTCCACTGTTGTGATACTTTCCTGACACAATGTGTTTGAGACGAGTACGTTGTAAGGTTCTTTCTGTGAGCTTATATTATGTTATCTCTTGCCCATTTAAGATATGTTCAGATTTTATAAGTTGCCAATCTACTATTAGCATGTATAACTTTTCAACTTATGTTCACTTCTATTTGCAATTTTCGGTATTATTTTAGTGCTGGTAAGGCGATTGCACGAAACTCACGGATGTACTTAAAATCTGTGGTAATGTGCCTTATTTGTCATCCCATTGGCCATATACGTGAAAAAACTTCGAGAAGTCTTCAGTATTATTGGTCAAAAAGACGTTTGCTATGATACAAGACCATCGATATTATTACAAGGCAATATCAGCATCGATCGCACTTCAGTGTGGCTACGCTTACGTGTTTTATTAATACGATGCTTTCATGATGTAATGAATTTGTTTGTTCATTGCAATAATGTGTATATTTTGTTATTGTCAGACTTATACAATTATGTATTAATGTTAATAATACATAAAACAACATAAACATTACGTAACATACGTATAAACGTAACAAAAATAAATTTGCTCTTAAATTTTCTAATAACGCAGTTATGATTCCATTTACCCCTAATCACTCAATTTCCCAACACGTTCCCTTTCGTCATGTTTTTGTAGTATATAGTCCATTCTACTGGATGTAGAGAGCACTGTAAAACTCAAATATCTATCTCTGCATTTTTCTTTCATAGTATATTTATATCGTATACCCTAATTGATATAATTTTAATTAAGGTAATTATTTATTGAGCATGATGAGTGTCATTTGTTTTGACACTGAAGAGTGTCATTTAATTTGAAGGTCTGCCTTTAATGAACACATTTTACTAAAAAGAAAAAATCTTCATAATTCTAGTTATAGGAAGACGCCGAAAAAAACACGCCGAATGATACCTACATACATTCCTTTAAGCATCCTTTACGCTATCCGAGGCCAGAATTTAACGCGGCACTGCGCCGCAACATTAAGCAAATAGTACTCAAATTTTCGAAAAATTATACTTTACCTTATTTAAAAATCTGTATTTACAGAAAATATTTCATTAAGAAAAAAGTTTCATCTTCAATATTTTAGTTGTAGAAAGACGGCAAAAATTTTTTTTAATTTTCAAAAAATTAGAAATTTTAATGAAAATAAGAACTGAGCCCTTAAGAGTCCCGTACGCTATCTGAGGTCAAAACTCAATCAATAAATGCTGTGTTATTGTCTAGAAAATTTTCAAAATATCCCAGAGGCTTCGTGCAAAGGACCCCCCTCCCCCAAATTAAAATATCGGTTTCTACTCCAAGGGGCCGTGTCATGTGCTAGATTGATTAAGGAATATCAATTTGCAGAAAATCGGCTGAACAGTTTAGACGCTAGCGTTATTGACAGACAGATGGAATGTCTTATTGAGAGAAGAAAAGTTGTATCTAGGGAAAATAAAAACTAGATCATTGCTGATTATTCATATTTTATTTCAGTACTTCAATTTATTTTCAAAACTACATCTAAAATATTTTCAATTTTTCTTACCAATAGAATATTAACATTCCAAATGCTGAAATTTCAGTATTTCAGTACTATCTTATTGACTTCGCAAGAACCACTCATAGAATCGACTTCTGAGAGTTTGTGTAATAACTGAGTAGCAATATTTTACTAAGCCCTTAATTTTCCAAATTCTGTCATCAAAACTGCTTCACTCTGTTACAGATATTTAATACAACTGTCTGAACGCATATCTTTGAAGTTATTTTGAACATTTTCAAAGCAATAAATTTTTATGTCATGACTTCATTTAGGCAACCACTCAAAAAGTTATTGCATTTCTGATCAGGATCAAAGTCCATAACTTTCTTGAAAACAAAACCAAAAACATACTGTTTGGCGTTCATTTCTTCTAAATACATACTGTATTTAACCCCCACACATATTTCTGCTAGAGGGGAAGCACTTGTTTTCACTAAGTGTGCGACTAATATTTAATTTCGAGGAGTTCTAGACCTCATATCAGGAAAAGATCAAGGCACAACAGGAACTTATTACTACATTCTTAACCACTTCTTAAGAATGCAACTTCATAAGTAATTCAGTTCAACTTCAACAAATGGAATGTAAAACGGCTTTGATTTCACAGGTGCGAGCGTTAATTCAAAATAGCATTGACTTCAGCTATCCGTAGTTTTACTTTGTGTCCACCAGGATCGCTAGCTGTAAGCACGAGCATACCTAAGTAGCATAACACAGGCTACTTTAATATACGTATTCTGTGAAAGAATTGATACCCAATAGATGGTTTCTAATAAATTCCAGAAGCCAGTAGCGATCCATCAGAACAGCTACCTAATAGTTCAGTAAAGGTCAGTAGCAGTGCTTAAGATGAAATATTTTAATCTGGTAGGAATGTACTGTAAAATAAAATGAAAGAAAATTATATAATTGTGTTAAAACTGGAACTAATTACATTACAAATAAAAATGTTAAACGCCGTGGCACATATAATATTGATATTTTTCCACTTTCACAATAATTGGATATCTGGCTAGTATTCTTTATATTTTTGAAGTCGAAGAACAATTTGTCACATGATACGCTCGCCAGCAGTGGTCGAGGCAACATCGTGTGCTCCGCTCAGTGTAGCTCCGCGGTCTGTGGCTAGTTTGCGTGTTTTCATCGAAGTCATGAAGTTAAGGTTTCAGTGTAAAGTGAGCAGACTAGTTCAATACATATAACTGTTTTCATTACGACCTACTTTTTTTCTCATTTTGAATGGTAACAGGAAATAAATGGCTGACACCAAAGCGGCTATCCGAGGGCAGGCCTCTGCTGCACGAGCCAGCCCGTTGAAGGAAACCTGACCGGCCGTCCAAGTTTCAATAGAGTAGTTCTCAATACCATGTACCTGGAGAAGGACCAAGGTATTATAATTGAAGGCAAAGACCACAGCACACCTCTCGAAAGATATGTAGAAGCTTTAGCAACGATGGTTCCGCCTAGTCACATCACGTTAGCATCTAAAATTCCATATAACAAGGTATGTGTATTTTTGAGCAGTAAGCAGTTAGTAGACGAATTAACTGAGAAGACTATTAATATTGAGAGCTGCTCCCAAAATATTCGATCTCTTTTAAGCAGACAGAAGCGTATTGTAATTTCAAATATCTAGCCTATGATTCCTTGCGCAGTAATTGAAGATGAACTAAACATACTAAAGTGATACTCTATTCTCAAGTGTCATTTCTCAGAGCTGTTTGTACAGAAGGACTCATTAAGTAAAATACCTGAAGCCATACTGATCACATACAATGGAGAAAGAGACTGGATTTACATGTCTAACGGAACTATTAAGTGCTTTCACTGCAAGAAAGAAGGGCACATTGCAAAATACTGCCAAAATATGGCAGATATTAACTCCAATCAGAAAAAATAATTGAAAACAATGTAGCTCATGGCAACGAACAAAGATTTCTTCCACTCGACCAAGGCAATCCTGTTCAGAGAGCCTTATCACAGATCAAAATCACTCCCAGCAACAAATCAAGTGAACTCCCGGAAGGACAATTCAACCGTCCCCAAGGAAGAATTAACGGTGTGGTAAAAATTAATAAGAAAAAGAAAATGAAAGTACCGAAGGAGAACACCATTAATACCGGTGGCAATACGAAAAGCATAGAGGAACAACTAGCCCCAGTGAAAGAAAGGATAGAAAGATCCAACTATGCACTCACGTACGAGCAACTAAAAAACTTTTTTGGAAAACACTTATGGCTCAAGTAGCCTCCTTCAAATGTATCTCTGTTACACGAATGAGACAAAGAGACTAATTGAAATCCTGCTTTATAAATTTCAACTTCGAAATATTATTCAAAATAGGTATTAAAATGTACGTGTAAAGTGCCTCATTGTCACCCATTTTTAATTGTTTATAGTTGAGTACAAAATGATGTATTTTGTTACAAAATTACTACATTATTAGTAGAATATAATAAACCAGTTGAATTTGAATTTTAGCGAAGAGGTGTGCAATGGCGAACACTTTTGTATGGGGCCGATCGCAATTTTTCAGGTTTATAGAGTGTAATGCCACTAGGAAGGGATCTTGTGATTCATTGGCACCCTTTTTTGACTGTTTATAGTTGAGAATTTTTTTTTATTTTGGTACAAAATTAATATATAATTAGTAGCGTAGTATAGGCTAGTTGATTTTGAATTTCAGAGAAATGGGGGTGCTAACTTGACGTCAAGATACATTTTTTTATAATGGTACAAAATTAGTACATAATTAGTACAAAATTATAGGCTAATTGATTTTAAATTTTTATCAACTGGGGGTTCCAACTTGACGGAGGTGACTGAACGCCAGTTGCGTGGAGAACGAGAAGGGTTGAGAAACATTTTGAAAATGGTATTGAGTGACATTTTTTAACCGCGACCGGCCAGAAAAGAAGGTTTTGTTGAATTAAAATATGCATTTAGAAATGAAGCTTCATATATCTGTGTCAACGACTCGTAACATGCTAATTTTAGTGTCTGGTGGCATTAAAATTCTCACTAACATTGTAACGCAAACGACTTTGTTAAAATTTCTTGTTATCTGAAAATTTTGGTATGGTGGATTTTTTCATTTAAAACCTATCTAGCATGTAAAATCATGGAACACAAAACATCGATGTTAGAAGAACGGCATAAAAATCGTTGATTTAAGATCGATAACTTTATAAAATTGCCATCGAACATCCCTACCCTCCACCCTAGTCATCGTGCAACACACTGTGACTTTCATTTCCTCGTCCTAATCCAGTGTGATTTTCACTTTGTCTCAAAGTTTGCTTTTCGAGAATCTGGAATAAC